CCTAACCATGAAGTAAATAGAGACTGTTTTTAAAACTCCAAAACTATCTCAAAACCACAATGAATGTTAACTATAATTGAAAAATAAAATAATAAAACCACAGTGAAGTTAACACATCACACCCACTTGGGTGGCTATACCTGGAAAAAGACAAAACACAACACAACAACAGGAAATAGTAAGTGTTGGTGAGGATGTGGAGAAACTAGAACGCTTAGACATTGCTGGTAGGAATGTAAAATCTGCTTCTATAGAAAGCAGTTTGATGGTTTCCCAAAAACCCTAAACATAGAATTACTATGACTCAGCATTCCACTGATAGATACTCAAATAAATTTTGAGTATTGAAAACAGACACTCAAATAAATACATGTACACTCATGTTTTTATGGAATTATTACTCAGCTATAAATGGCATATTACTCAGCTATAAAAATCAAGTACTCATACATGCTACAGTGTGGTGAACCATGAAAACAGCATGCTAAGGGAAATGCCAGATACAAAAGGTCACGTGTGACCTCATTTATATGAAATATCCAAAATAGGTAAATCCATAAAGACAGAATGCAGGTTATTGGTTGCTAGGGGCTGTGGGGAGTGGCAATGGGAAGCAAATGGTTAAAGGCATAGGTTTTCTTTTTGGTGTAAAAAAACATTTTAGAATTAAAGGTGGTGATTGCACAACATTCTGAATGTACTGAATGCCACTTAACTATTCACTTTAAAATGCTTAATTTTATGTGATGTGAATTACATCTCAATAAAAAAGTTAAAAAATATTTATTATTCAATCCCAAATAAATCATCTTAGCAAAATAGGAATAGCATAATAATCTTTAAATGCCTGAAAAGCTTTCCCAGAGTCAGCATAAGGGTAAAACATTTACAATGAATTCAGGAGGAAGATGAGGTTGCTCTCAAACACCACTAGTATTCAACACTTTAGAAATGGTGATCAGCACCTTTGAACAAGAAAATAAATTGTAAATGTGGGAAATCAAGACTACACTTTTTATCTTGTTTGTTTCTGTAGATGTCTGTCTGGAAAACCCAAGAGAATCAAGCAAAAAATGGTTTCAAATGATAGGGAATTGCTGTATTTTGGCTACTTATAAGAGCTATTAAAATCTATATATAACAAAAACAGTTTAGTTGGAAAATATTATAAATCTTCTGATTCTGGCAGAATGTGGATTAAGCTAACAGAAATATTTAGACATGCTAAGTATACTTTCAAAGAAACTGAGCATTCCATAAGACAGATCTCTCCAGTTACCAGAAATTAAGAAGGAATTTGAAAGCAAGTCAGGAATCATGCTAATTGATGGAATAGCCTAGGAGGAAGAGGATTTGTGAGCTTCAGCCTTTGGTTTTAACATTCATGCTCAAGGATTTGGACTCATAAAAAGCAGAAAATTAGAACTGAGAACCCAGCATAGAACCAGAACCTTCAGTGGGCTTAACAATCCGTGAAATAGAGAACTAGAAGGAAAAGGCCCCCCGCCGCCACACACACACACACACACACACACACACACACACACACACACACACACTTTAAAAAAAGAACCTTGCCTCAGACCTGGGTTAAAAAAGGAGTTTCCCAGGAAAAATTGAAACCATGGATGTGGACTTCATACTATAACTTGCGTGGTGTAATAGTCCTCAAAGTAATGAAGAGTAGGTATTAGGCTAGTAATACACCTGGGGTACCTTTTAGAAGCAAATGTAAAACCACTTCACAATCCAGATTGCATGAAATTCTCCCAGAAAAACTGAGCTTCAGTGAAGATGAAATTACAATTTTTTAAAAGTTGTAAATCATGTAGAAATGATCAGCAGATACAGTAAAGGATTATACAATAAAGGACAAGAGGATTAGCAGTTTAAGAATTTGAAATATAGACTATAGAGGATACTATGAAGTATGTATATATAAAATTAAAGACATAAAGAGTTCAAACTATAAGAAAAAAAAGATAATGAAAAAAGTATAGGCAGATTTGACACAGCATCAAATCTGAGCTTCTAAAAGTAAAAAATACTGTAATTGAATTTAATGGTGATTAAAGAGTAGATTAGACCTAGCTGAAAAGAGAATGGTAAACTGGAAGATAGATTTGATTAAATTACCCAGAATGTAGCACAAAGTTATAGAGAGGAAATGTGAAAAAGAAATGAAGAAACACAGATGAACATGTGTAAAAGTCCAGTAGCACTAACAGGCCTAATGGAGGAGAGAAGAGGATGAATTTATTCAAAGCAGTATTTGAATCCTCAGATTGTAGAAGCAAATAGGATAAATAAAAATTAGCCTGATACATCTATGTCCAGTTGATTTTTGACAAAGGTACAGAGACCACTCAATGGGGAAAGAATTGTTTCATCACCCATTGGTTCCCGGACAACTGGATTTCCACATACAAAAGAATGAAGTTGGATCCTTACCTCACACCATATAAAAAATTACCTCAATGGATCAATGACCTAAAGATAAGTGTAAAAACTATAAAACTCTTAGAAGAAAACACAGGGTAAATCTTCATGACTTTGGATCTGGCAGTGGAGTCCTTATGACTCCAAGGACATAAGCCGCAAAGGAAAAAAAAATAGATAAATTGAACTTTATCAAAGTTAAAAACTTTTGTGTATCATAGGATGTTTTCAAGAAAGTGAAAAGACAGCCTACAGATAGCAGAAAATATTTGGAAATCGTATATCTGATAAGTGTTTAATGTCCAGAATACAAGGTTGGGCAGTTAAGTTCACGAACTCATCCTAGAAAAAGTGCTACACACCTCATTGCTGAATATCACTATGGTCACCTTCAAGGTACTCCCCTTGGGAAGCTATGCACCAACGCCAGCGCGCCTAGTCCACCCTTCAAAGCAATTTTGGAACTCTTTTGGAATGGCCATCAGAACTGTTATCATATTACCTTTGATGTCTGGAATGTCATCAAAAGGTCTTCCTTTCAATATTTCCTTTATCTTTAGGTAAAGAAAGAAGTCATTGGGGGTTAGATCAGGTGAGTAGGGAGGGTGTTCCAATACAGTTATTTGTTTACTGGCTAAAAAGTCCCTCACAGACAGTGCCCTGTGAGCTGTTACATTGTCGTGATGCAAGAGCCATGGAAAGTTCAGGTCATTTTTGTCTTTTTCACACAGCCTATTCAGCACTTCCAAATAGTAAACATAGTTAACTGTTCGTTCAGTTGGTGCAAATTCATAATGAATAATCCCTCTGATATAAAAAAAAAGTTAGCAACATTGTTGCAACAAGTTCACAAACTTGTCATATCTCATAACAATTCTTACAAGTCAAACAATTTAAAGACATGCAACTGAATTAAAAAATGGGCAAAGGATGTGAATAGACATTTTTCCAAAGAAGATATACAAATGACCAATTAGCACATGAAAAGATAGATGCTCAACATTGTTGGTCATTAGGGAATGCAAATCAAAATCAAGAGATACCACTTAACATCTATTAGGATGGGATAAGTTTTTTAAAAACGGAAAAAAATGCTGACGAGCATGTGGAGAAATTGAAATCCTTCCTATTTTGATGGGAATGTTAAATGGTGCAACACTAGAGAAAACAGCTTGGTAGTTCCTCAAAAAGTTAAACATCTAATTACCGCATGTGACCCAGCAATTCTCCTCCAAGGTGTATACCCAAAGGAACTGAAAGCAAGGACTCAAACAGATGCTTATATATCAGTGTTCACTGGAGCATTCTTTATAATAACTAAAAGGTGGAAATAACCCAAGTGTCTGTCAACAGATGGGTGAACAAAATGTGCTGTATACATGCAATAAAATATTATTACACCATTAAAAGGAATGAAGTTCTGATATATGCTACAACATGGATGAACCCTGAATGCATTATGCTAAGTGAAATAAGCTCTATACAAAAGGACAAATATTGTATGATTCCATTTCTATGAAATACCTAGAATAGACAATTTCGTAGTGACAGGAAGTAGATTAGAGGTTACTAGGAGCTGGGAAAAGGAGCTGGGAGTCATTGCTTAACGGTTAGAATTCTGTTCTTGCACTCAACGTAATCACAAGAACCCTACAGGAAAAACTGTTTATAATCAAACTCTAAGGCTCTAACTTCCCATTCCCTTAACTTCCTTTTCTGCTCTCTAAATAATCCTCCATTTTGTCATGCAGGCCAGAGTGTGCACGTGACTTGCCATGTCGGCATGTCCTGGGTTGCAATCTTTTCTTTTTCCTAATCCTTTTTGGTGATGAAACACCTAGTCGGTATTATTTTCAATAGACAAAGAGATAAGCAAAGATGACTTGGGAAAGTTACTTAAACTCTCTATGCGTGTGTTTCTTGGGGTTCTGGTTATCCTCTATCATGCTTTCCCACCGATTCACCTCCATTCCAGGGCCAAATGGTGGGAGATACGGGGGAATGGGGAGCAGAGCGGGGATGACCACACCTTTCTGGGATCCCAGTTTTACTAAACAGAGGAAGGTTTCCTCTCTCAGAGGTACAGCTCTCTCAGGGTTCCATTGCTACCACCACCACCACCACCACAACAGGATTTCTTCTTCTGCCCTGTTCTTATGCGCTCTTCGTAAAAGGAATTTGTGATCTGTTTTGCCTTGGAATAACTATTATTTTTATTTATGCCTTTTTCATTATGCATACAATATGGAATTTTTATGTTTAGAGATGAAGTAACTGTGTCTAGGCTATTATGCCTCAGTTCCAATAGATTCAGGCAACATTTTTTGCCTAACGTATACTCTTCTGTAATAACTCTTTGAGACATTTATTATAAATCTCATTCATATGAGGACACTGAGGGGTAAGTAAAGTAACATTATCTTAGATTTCCACAATGGCTGTGAGTTTCTTGAGTGCAGGAATTTCAATATTCAGTTTTTTACCATCTAATACCTACCATATATTATAGTAGCTACTCAGTAAACATAGCAATAGCTCTGACTTTTTTCTTCTTTCTACAGTACCTTGGCCATGTAGAAGTTGATGAATCAAGAGGAATGCACATCTGTGAAGATGCTGTAAAAAGATTGAAAGCTGTATGTATTTGGTGGTTACCAGTGTTGATCTATATGCTATAAATATTTTCTTAAAATATTTTGCTCACTAAATTTTAGTGACTTACTATCCAGTAAGAACAGTGTTTCTCTTAAGGCCAAAAAAAAAAAAAAAAGCGAGCTCACGAATAAAGAACATCTCATTTTCTTCATCCAAAGGTGTAAATTATAAAGACTTTCAATTTAGGCCAGACATTATCCAAAAGGTACTTTTGATCAGAACCCATATTAAACAAATGGTACGAAACCTTATAGATGAATAATATTCTAAAACCAGGATAAAACTGTTAAAGTTAGTGTCTTAACTGTGATAAGTGGGTTATAAATTACTGATTTTAAATCTATACGAGACAGCTTTCCAGGAAAAAGTAGGAGATAGAGGTATCTGTGTTCATGGCTAGTAAGGTTTACATTTTGGGAGGACATCTTGACTGCTACTCCCCAATTCTGTTCTCCACACCCCTCTCACATGAACAATATGTTTCCCCTGCCTCTTGCACACACTTCAGCGTACTTGAAATGGAGCACCCTTTTTCAAGATAAATAATGTTTACTTTGCCTTATGCCATGGAACCCATCCCAGGCGCATGCCTGTGTATTTAATACAAGGAGAGAATGGGTTCAGAGTTCATAAAGGTTCAGATAAAGGGTTAATTTCCCATTTTGAATAGGCTTGAAGACTGTTTCATAAACTCTGACAGCCCTTACTTATCACAGCCTTCCTCCTTTCCAATGGTGGCCCTTCCCCTTTTGCTTTGAAAGCTTTATGCATTACCTCTGCATGGCCTTGCCCAGTGAGCTTTGGGTTTGCTGGTCTGGTGGGCTGCTACAGGTTTGGCTATTATTAGTGAGTGCTTTTTTTTCTCAATTTGCTCAATAATCAAAACTTTTTTGCTTCTTGGTACATTCTGTATGACCTCTTTTCTGTAATTCTGCATTATAAAAGATATAAAATTAAGGAAGCAACCAACTCAGAGAGGTGGATTGTATTTTGAAACAAATGCCTGAATCTATTGCAGAAGGGAAAGGAGGAGAAAATAACTGATTATGCAAAGAACTAAAAAAAAAAAAAAGATAGATATCGGTTGTCAGAAAAGTCATGACGTATTTTTTCTATGTTTCTCGTTGCAAAAATGTGTCATGGCTTTTCCAGCAACTCAATAGATACATGTACACATACCTCTTTACCTTAGATTTTGGTCATTCAAATTCTTAAATGAAGCTTTTCCTAGCCTGTCTGTGCACTCCAATTAATTATCATTAAAGGGACTTATATCCATGTATTATGGTACATGAAACTATAATTTATAGACTTGCTATGTTCACCTGAATATACTTCCCAATTAAATATAGCCTCAGATAATGTAATTTTCCAAGAAATATAAATTCAGTCTCCTCTTTAACAAAATAATTTTAAGTTAACTAGAAGAATAAAATAAGTTTAGCTAATAACATTTTAAAAAAACAATGCAATGATTTGCCCTGTAGTCATTAAAGAATATTTTAAACATCATAATACTGATGATTGAAAACAACAGACAGATCAATGAACAGACTAGATAGACCTGAAACAAACTATAAATAGTTATTAAAATCTTACAACTTACATAACTTACAGTGAGAAGGTCACTGTGGAATGTGCCTTTAGAAGTCTTTTGATTCAGAGTATGGCTTCATGTTCACTCTCTAAATAAGTGCAAACTAGGGTTAAATTTACCCAGAAGGTAGTAAGAAATGGTATTTAGTTACTTAATGAGCAGTTAATCCTCTTAACCATCTAGTTTTTTAAACCTACTTTTAATTAGAAGCATATCTTTATTATATAGGTAGTATATGTTCATTGTATAAAATGCAAATGAACAAAAAGTACATAAAATCTCTTGCAACCCCAGAGAGCCCCTCTTCACCATCTAGTTCTAAAACTAATTTTTTAGTTGATGAATGTTTTTGTTTTATTGTACCTTTCTATTTTCTTTAACAAAGAAGATTATAAACTGTAAGCATGATTATTTGTGGTACAGGACTAGTTAGGTAATATTTAATGAGTTTTTATTTTACTAGCAACAGGAAACAAATTGCCATTTAAAAAATGATACCTATGCCTAGAACAATGTCTGGCACATAGTAGCCACTCAAAAAATATTTTTGGAATGAATATACAGAAAACGATTCAGTCCTCAATATGTGGTTAAATAGAACATTATAATAATTATTATAATCATAATTTAATATTTTAAAGTTTATGAAATTCTTGTGCGTATCTCTAAAAGATCCTTATTTCCTTAGGTACGTTATAACTAAAATGAAGTTTGATATATGTTTCTTGCTTTTCATGACAAACTTTTTTCATGACAAAGGGGAAATTGACCACTTCTCAACTTTTAATTCAAGTAGTTCTTTAAAATTTTTCAGACCAATCCTATCCAGGCAACTTGGAGCAAATGTTATTTATAATTTTACATAGGCAAACATGTATTTTTAAAAATAAGATTGAATGTTTAGGTAACTGAGATCAATTTCCTGTTTATTATACTCAGTGAAATCCCCGCCCCCCCTTGTATAAATACCCTTTCTAACACTGTACTGAGAAGCTTGCAGAAAGTCGAAAGTCTGCAGGATAGTTTTTCTCGGATCATATTAGTCCACAGAAATTTAAATCTATAACAAACATCTATAATCAGATATACCAGATGCTTACATTGTGCCAAAAGCTATGTCTCGGGAGGTATTTTTGTTTCCAATAAATGGAAGCAAATGTAAAAGTGTACAAACCTACATATTAAGGGAAAAAATAGCATATGTGTGAAACTAATTTGAATGCCAAAGTTTTAAAATTTGAAGAATTATATAGCTCACATGTACCAGTTAAGTAGCAAAACAAACATCTTAAACTTATCACTTGAATGATCTTTGAACAAAAAATTTAAATTTGTAGGGAATTGAGGAAGCAGGGTAATTTGCAAGTATGGTTTTCTTTTTCCTTGAAGTAGTCCCTTACAATTTAGGAGTCAATTAGATGTTATCTGCAAACATACTATTCTCAAATGAAAAGATTAAACAAGGTAGTGTTTTAAACATGTGCTTTTTCAGAGCATAAATATGTTTAAATTGTTTTTTACTTTGTATACATAACGTTAGTTACAGCTGTTTTTAGCTCCTTTACTTTGTGATATGATTTCACAGGTTAGCCACTTAGGGACTTAACATTGTATAGGATACTGCCTATGGACAATCTACTGTCTATTTTCATGCCTTTATGTCATAGTCAGTTGCTGGGTGAGGAGTAATGTCATTTATCAGTCTATTCTGTAACAAGTATATCTGGGCCTTTGGTTATTTTGCTTGACACTGATCCAAAATGCCCTTCCTTTTAAAAAGTCTTTCTTCCCATTGTCTCTGTAAATGTCTCTCCCTGTCTGTCTTTGTTTTCGATTAGTTTCATTATACTACCAGTTTCTAATATGTTGGGTTGTTTTATTCATTATTTGATATATTTTTTTCTAATATATGTTCTTGTTTTAGCAGGTAAAAGAGTCATAACTTAATTGTTTTTTAAAAAACATTATTCTCTAATAACTATCTTTTTATGCATTTTGCATGTCAACTTTTTTCATTAACATCTGAGATCTTTTATAAAAAGAAGACACACTCCATGTTTAACAAGTGCTTTTCTGAGAGCTAAATTAAATATTAACAGATCTCTTTCCCTTAACCTCCCTATCCCTCAAGAATGGTGAATCTTTTAACTTTGGCTGCATCCTTAAAAGCTGATGGTTGCTCACAGTCTAACAAAACTAGGGTCACCAAACTTGGCAGCAGAAATAAAGTTAGTCTTACTGTGTTAACTACCCCAATTCCTTTATTATTTGTCCAGCTTAAGTTCAAAACACTTTGTGGAACTATCTGATGCTATTTGTCATTTTCAAAACTCAAGGAGCAAACAAACTGTTCAGTGATTAAATGACTTCATAAATTGTCTGAGAGAGTCAAATTTCAGTACAGTTGTCTTTTTCTAGATATTTATCCGTCATTAAAAACTGATTATAAAAAGTAAAGGTTTAAAGTATTGTCCAACCAAAGCTAGGAAATGTAAAAGTTAAGGTAGCTTGCGTGAATTAGAATCCACCTACTTTGTGTAAGTGCTTCGGATTTTAAATGGTGGCCAGTTTTCAAAGTTTGTATATGCTTAAAAATTGGTGCTGAGACCATAGATAGCAATGTCTCTCTCATCTACACAGTTTCAGGATTGTATACTTATAACTGTCTATGCAAGTTTCTTTATTCTAAAACAGTAGCATTTAAAAAGGAAACAACCTATTCCTTAAATTTCAGTTGTGGTCTACAGATCTGGTTTGGCTCCCAGGCATATTTGTTTTCTCAGCTCCAGTGAAATCATTAGTCTTGTGTTCTTTATAGATGATTTATTCTGTGTTTGGAATAGAACATATTTTTTATTCCCCCATGATTGTTGTGAAATTGATCAGCACACACATACAAATCAATTCTAATGCGTAAGTAAGGATTCTGTAAGGGACATCTTGAACTCAGTAAGAAAAAGTCTGACAAGAACCCTTGCTGCATGCACACTCATAACTTAATTTTATATGATTATGTGGTCATTTGAATGTGAACTGGTTTTTTTCATTGATGACTTCCACATAGATGACCACTTTTCAATTGAAAAATGTATATGAAACTAATCTTCTATTTACTACTCACAATTATGAAATTTAAAATGCAAATCTCACCAGGCTAGTTTGTCCTAATCTTTTTCTCTGCTACCAAATTTGGATAATCTCTGTTTTAAAAGTAAATAGAGAATACTAAACTAACTAGTTGCTCTGCATGGATACAAGTTCTGATTTCTTCTCATTCTTTCCATGAATTCTTAGGCCATACAGTATGTTTCCTTGCATTTTCGTGTCACTCCTGGTCTGGATAACTCTTTAAAACTCTCACTCCCTCCCCTTCTCCTACTTTGCCCTTGACCCAACTTCTGTATGTGCTTATTGGTGTGAAACCCTGGGACATTTAGCCCATACAGTAATAGCGCTCGACTTGTCCCCCTGTTCCTCCAGGAAAGGAAGTTCTTCAAAGGCTTCTTTGGAAAAGTAAGTTTGATGCCACATTTGTGCTTGCTTTATAAGGAGTTACACCCCTAGTATAGCACTGACATGTTTTTAAGAAGCAGTACAGCTTTGGTGTCTTTATCATACAGGAGTTGATTTGACTGTACATGGAAATTAATGAATAGGAAAGTTGCTATCTATGATATTACCTGTGTCTGTTGATAACTAAACCTGATGATTCCTAGGAAAATCCAATAAATAAATCAAGTAGGTTAAAAAAGGATTGTCTCAAGACTAGGTGTTAAAATAAATTTACTTTGATCTTGCAAAACTGTTCATATTAGCATATAGCTGGATTTTTAACAAATGGGTTTTATTTAGTGTTCACTATTGACAGAGAAATAAAAAGAAGTATTAAATTCAAGTGAAAGTTAAATGTACCCCAAATTTACATTCAATGCTATTACTTTTTCTCAGTCTAAGTTAAATTTCAGGTGAAGTAAATGAAAGTACATAAACTTATCTGTAGGGATCCTTTGATTTTTAACCTGGGCTACAAATCTAAAAATCTATGTTTGTTAGTTTACCAAATATGTCATATGTAGAATGTTGTTTATGTAGATGTTTTTCAAGTAATGACTGTTTAATGTTCAGATTTACTTAGAATTAAGAATATGTATACAAATAGGTAAATACATTTCTAACATTTTTATGTCCAAGTTTATCGTTGTTTAAGTATTACAGACTGAGACAGTATAAGAAAAAACTCATTGGAAAACTGAGTGTAAATTACTAAAAGTTTATGTGAATATGAAAATCCCATCACAATTTTTCTTTACTGGGTGGTTTTGTTACTTTGGAACTTTGTTTTAAAGAACCAATAGTTCCCATTTCCTTCTCAAGTAAATATTTTAGTAATAACCTGTTTTTACATGTTCTTGTTTGGGTCACCTTTATATTAATCTAAACAAATTTGAAGGATTTTCGGTTGAATGGTTTAATTTAGTTACTGCTGTCAATCTGAAATAAAAAGTCATATAATTGACCCACATTGTCACAATAAAAATTTAATAGACATTTTGAGTCTGAGTCAAATTAACAGGTCCATGATATAGGGGACCCATATCTGGAAAAACTCCTATAGACATTTGCATCATTATTAATTGGCACTTACTCATTAAGGAAATGGTTTTTGTAGAGTATTTTTTCTTTTCCAAATAGAATTTCTCAGAGCAGTTTCACATTATCACAGTTATAATACAATTTTGATTGTTTTTCAAGTGATCAGTTTTTAATATGTATGCCTATTATAGTAAAGCAGCCTTGTCTATGAAGGCTAGGTTGTAGAAAATATTGATTTGGTTTGTAGAAAAACATGTTAAAAGTATAAGGTTATAACATGATGTAAGGGAACAAAGATAGCTCTCACTTCAGAATCAATCCCAAGGTGGCAGTGTTCATTGCTCTAGTGGGGTCATGGTGCAGTTACCGTATAGCTGAACTGGGTCACACTTTGCTTCTTAGTTATTTTCACTGCATTTTGCTATGTGATAAATTTATATGGCATGAGAAAGAAAATTATGAATCATCTCACTTCATCTTTTACAATAATCCTGAAATTATTAGTCTCCCTGTTTTGTGAGGAAACTGAAGTTTACAGAGGTTCAGTGACCCTCCTGAATTCACAGATCTAATAAATGGTAGAAGCTAGGATTTGAACCCAGATAATCTGACTCTGGAGCCCACACTCTTAATCACTATACTATACAATCACTCTGCGTTCATATTGTTTACAAGCAAAGTTTAAAAGGTTTAACCTTAAATTAAAAGATGCAAGTAAATAAAGAGCTTCCTAGAAAGTCACTTACTTTCTTTCTTCTTTAAAGGTAGTACTTCAACTTCAGATTTCGTATCTTGTTAATTTACTTTTTTATTAGTTTAAGCTTTAAAGAGTCTTTCAGTCGTTCAAATTAATAGTTTATTTATTTGGAGGTATTTAAATCATGCTAGTGAGTTTGACTCCCATAGGATTTCTTTAACAGAAGCTAAGCAATCCCATAATGGCATCCATGACCAAATATGACTATCAGAATTTTTTCTTAAGTTTTTGCAGGAAGAATTCTTTTTATGGCAGGATGATTATATTCTGATATACAGTTTTTGAAACTACAGTTAAATCATTCAAAGAGTTTGGAAAATTGAGGGGTGGAGGAAGGCAAATCCTTGTTCATAATCTTACCGGAAGTATGCTATTAAATGAAAAACCTTACTTTGGAGCCCTTTAAATTTTTCAAGTTGCCATCATTCAGCTCATTTCTACACTAATCTACAAGAAACAGGCTGGTGAAAGAGACCTGGTGTGGTGAGTTTTCTAGATCAGTTGTGGTTTGATGAAAGCTGAACATGAAGAACCTCATAGAACAGTATACGATAGGGAGTTTTTTTCCAGTACAGTTCCTCATAAACTTTTGATACTTTCTTAGCCTTCATATCATGTATGATTTAATGGTCCAGGGTAAAGAGAACAACAGTTATCAAAAAGTGTTTCCATTAAACATATTTGCATAAAAGTAGATTGATGTTAAGAATTATTCGCCCTGATTCTGAATTTATAAGTCATGGCCTAGAGGACTGCTTCCTCTTTGCCTAGGTTGCATCCTGGACCTACCTACCCAGTCACCCCCTCCTTCCTGCATTACCAGCGGGTGGGAGCAGCGCCTCAGGAGGAGGGAACAGATAACCCTGGGTCTGTTACAGGACTGTGTTATTAACCCATTGTAAGTTTACACACATCTTAAAAAAGAGAAGGAGAAAAAAATACTGAGAACCTGAAATAACTTTTTCCGAACTAGCTACATTAAATTGCTCATTGGTTTAGGAAAGACAAGAATGTGTTCTGATCATTACACCAAAATCATTAGTGTATTTGGCCATACTAGGCCATACTTTATTATTAATACCGTGTAATTACAGGGCACTTAACATTAAAAGGATTTCATAATTTTAATATATTTGAGGAACCCCATGAGCTAAGTAATCTATATTCCATTTTTTATGAGGAACTGACTGAACCTAGAGATATAAAATGTTTTTAGGCCACCCTATCAGATCTCTTTTTAAAGCCTTGTATTAGAAAAACTCTGTTCAGTCTGCCTCCTGTGAGTCTTTCTCCTGTGTGTCACATTTACTATTCACACAACACACTTGGTTCCTGGTCACCAAACATGTGGAGATTTTACCCCACACCAAGTGATTCCCTCACACCAGCTGGGTGTCCTACAATTTCACTCAGTTCTGACACACTCTACCTGGAGAAAAAGTGTTAGATCCCACAGGTTAGGGGCTCAGGCCCACAGCACTGCCGCCACCCTACTTCAGGTACGAATCGCAAGTAGTAGGTGCCCAGGTTACCACAACTTCTCTGCAGTTTGGCTACAAATCGGAGGTTCCCATCACCTCTTCCTCAGGTCCAATTAATTTGCTAGAGTGGCTCACAGAACTCAGGGAAACACTTACGTTTACCAGTTTATTAAAGAATATGATAAAGGATGCAGATGAACAGCCAGATGAAGAGATACATAGGGCGAGGTCTGAGAGGGTCCCAAGCGCAGGAGCTTCTGTCCCCGTGGAGTTGGGGTTTTCTGGAAGCTTCCTCACACAGACATGATCAGTTAATTCCATTTCCAGCTCTTCTCTCCTCTTTGGAGAATGGGGAGTGAGGCTGAAAGTTCCAGGCTTCTAACCCAGGCTTCTAATCATAGCTTGTTCTTTCTGGTGACCAGCCCCATCCAGGAACCCACCCAGAATCGCCTCATTAGAACAAAAGATGCCCTAGTGCTCTTATTAAGAATTTACAAGGGCTTTAGGAGTCCTATGTCAGCAATGGGTCAAAGACGAAATATTAGAACAAGAGATGCTCATAGTTCTTTGATCACTCAGGAAATTATAAGGGTTTCAGGAGCTCTGTGGCAGGAACTAGGGACCAAGACCAATATATATTTTCTATTATCTTACAGCCGTTTACTTGTATTTATAGAGAGAGAGCTTTATAGTTTATGATACGCTTTGACCTACTTTCTAATTTGCTATTCGTAACAGCTCAGTGAATTAGACAGGATAATTCATGAAGCTACATTTAACAAATGAATGAACGAACAAGCTCAAAGAAATTACCCAGCCAGTAGCAAATAGCAGTGCCTACCCTGAAACCAAGGTTTTCTGAAGCCTGGTGCAGAGTTTTCTCACCTACCCCTTACTGATGTTTTCTCATTCAAAAGCGTTGGCCTCTGCTCTCCTTACTTAGAATGAATGGAGAAATGCCTAATGCAGAGGACGAGAAGTTCAAGGGCCTGTCAAAACATGCCTGCACACAGTTTATAAATTGGAATTAGCTGGCAGTATTTCAAACATTGAAAGCTTGCACATAAAAACTAGGATATCTATCTTAAGAATTAGAAGATCTGGCAAAATAGTGTGCTTTTAATGTGACAGGAGTGGCTTGAGCTGAGTAGCTGGCGGCTGTGCCTTTTGGTTGTCTATTTGCCACAATCCGTGCAACTCCCTGTTGGCCTGACTCTCAGCCCGCTTCACTCATTTTGTTACCTGCTCCTAGCCGTGTAGCATTTGAGTTTGTGAACTCCTCCCTGGGCTGTTTTGTCACTTTGATTTGGTGGGGAGTGGGTAACCACTTCAAACTATATAAAAATCACCAAAAATATCATATCTGTTGTAGCTGATTCTGTTAATGTATTGCCAAATATATTTTCTCAGGTTTTCACACTTTTACAGTTGTTAAATGACATCATTAGAAATTATTATGTTTTAAAAAATGCATGGTTGAAAGGTAATACGTGATTATATTTTCATCTAATTCTCGAGAATAAAACATTTAATGGTATTTATGACCCTTTTAAATCAGTGTATTCACATCTACATTCTATTTCAGATTTTCCAAATTTTCTCTTCTGTGACAAATTGTACTTAGTGCTTATTCTGGATCCTTTCCTTTAAAAATGAGGGAATATCTGTTGCATCTTTCCTTT